GGGATAAAAAGTTACACTTTGACTTTCCTCATGAGCACCAGACACATATCAAATTAAAGTAGATCCTGAAAAAGGACTAAAGACAAGTTTAACCCAGTGGAGAGAAAAAAGAGTCAAAGGCCTTTCTGCATTTACCCAGCAGTCCCCGTTCTCTACCCTCCACTGGATAGATTAGATCAGTTAGTCCTTAAGAGCTAGACCCGTTTCCTCAGTATTACAGAGTTTTTTTTCCCTTAAAGCCAAATGGAAATGTTTTGAAAGAAAGTGATAAAAACCTTTTTTAAGTTGTTGATTAAGGACAGAACTGTGTAAAAAAGGCATAAAAGTTGTTACTTTATATTTGGACATATCTACATATTGCATATATACACATACAATGAAAAATCTAAATACTCCACACCATAGGTGACGTTCCAGTGCTGTTTCGATTAAATTTATGACAGATGTTTTTCTTTTAATATTAGAATGCTTTGTAATAAAGGTCGAATCCATGTCTTTCTCTGTTTTATTATTTTTGTGTAAAAAGGAACATTCGTCAATAGGATAAAGTTAGCAAAATAAGTAAATGAGTGAATGAGAGAACACAGATCCACTAATCCTAAGTGTTAGTTAGCATGAGTGTAGTTGAAGTCTGAGTTTCCTAATAACCAGGGCAAAAAGGGAAATGAGTTAATGTGGGTAGTAGTCCTAGGAGGAGGAAATAGACCAGTTACTGAGGGGAGAAAAAGCTTTGTTTGCCTCTAAACTAAAACGGAAATTACTCCCATGGGTAATTACTTCTTACAAGGCTGCTCATTGGTTTAATTCTGAACGACTTGAACATTTTACAGCAAATTGGAGACGCAGATTTGATACGGCTGCTTTTTGAAACCATCTTCAGCAAAAAGCCAAAGTCAGAGCATCAAACCACAGTTCAGTAGAAGCAGTCCATGAGGGCTAAGCTATTGTGCAAATGTATACTTTTCCATAGCTACTTCGAGTTTTTCCAAGTCAAATCTTAGAGATTTTTAGTCTTTGTCTATTTTAATTATGTTTGTTGTAGAGCATTTTATCTGTTAATCCTAAATTGGGTGTTCAATTTCGTCTATTAGGACACTGTCCACAACGTAAGGAACCGTTCTAGAAAGATTTAGAATTGCAATCGAGGCTTTGGTGTGTCCGCCCTAATTCTTGCCTCAGGACTGGCTGGCCACTCTGAACGTCACATTGGTTCTAGCCAAGGACACAGAAGAAACTTGATCGGGGTTTGAAAAACCAAAAGTTGAAGTTCCAGATAATTCTTACCTTGCCGTCCCCTCCCCCTGGCCATGTTCTGTCTACTGAAATGACCACCTTTCTCCTGTTCCAGGACAGCAACCCTTTTGATGCCACCGCAGGGTATCGTGGTCTGACCTACGAGGAGGTCCTGCAGGAGCTGGTGAAGCACAAAGAGCTCCTCAGGAGGAAAGACACGCACATCCGGGAACTCGAGGACTACATCGACAACCTCCTCGTAAGGGTCATGGAGGAGACGCCCAGTATCCTCAGAGTGCCATACGAACCGTCCCGGAAAGCTGGCAAGTTCGCCAACAGTTAATAAGCCAGTCGTACTGTGCTTGCGTTAGGGGCAAGAAGAAAAGAGACAAAGGAAGAAGGAAATCTCGGTACTGCGAGAAACCACATGATCAGGCTTCGTTACATACTCGCCTTCCTTGCGAAAAACTACGTTCCGAGTAAATACTAGCAGGGACTCTCAAGAGTGACCTGTGAAGTGAGCTAAATTATTTACACTTTTAAAGTGAAAAGGGGCCAGATTCTCCATGAATAAGCAGTTCCTTCGGCTTCACTTAGGTGCTGGTGTCGCCCACGAACCTGCCATAGGCCTAGGGGCAGCTTCGGAAGTACACGACTCGTGATTCCTCAGGAATAGATTTCTCCTAAAGCAGAATCGACGCCGTGGCCGGTTTCTCAGAAGTCGGTTTGTAGACACATTTAGCTGCAGGAATACCGTTCATTGTAAACACTCAAAAAAAAAGTTCCTATTTTATATGCATCCGTATGTGTACATGAATATATGTTCATGTATCTTTGTGTATAAAATACATGCATATACCTCATATATACATGTGTTTTTAAAACATTTAAGAACAACTGGTTGCCTCTAAAATTAAGATACCAATTTCTCAACGTGAAGATCTATGTGTGCTCTCTCGATGCAAAACAAAATCGTCATCGCTACCGTATCACGTACGGTTTGTTACCGGGAAGCTGCTTCAGATCGCTCTTGACTTTGTGAACCTTGGTTTCACAGAGCTGCTCCCCTGTGTTATTCCAGTATCAGATGTTGCTCTTTTTCTGAAAGGAATGATCCAAAGTTTTGTGAGTTTTGTTTTTGTTTTTGTTTTTGTAGTTTTTTGAAGCATGACCTATTTTAGGAAACTTGATTAGCTTCAGGAGAGTAACTTGTTGTCTTCACGTTTGAGTTTCGTTTAAGTCCAAGAGAAGCTAAGGTCGTCTGTTTTGTTGAGATTCTGAATGCCTTTAGATCACTAGCCCGAAAGATATTAGGAAGTTAGATCTGAAAATCATTCTGAGGGAAAAAAGGAGGTGATCGTCTGATGCCTGATAACCCAAAGCAACGAGCAAATTCGAGGAATGAAGAATTAGGCTTAGTTTCAAGTTACGTAAATAATAGAACAGATGGTTGCATTTGGGTCTTGAACCAGAAGAAGAGTCACCGAAGGAAGAGGGAATCGTTGGAACAGACCTTCACTAGCGTGGCCCTGGACACAGTTCTACATCTGCCCTTAAGAATTGGTTTATCACAGAATTATATGTTGGCCCTTTTCTTAAGTCAGTTCCCCCCAAATGCCAATACTTCCAAAAATTATCTTGATATATCTGTACGAAATTAGCCTGAAATTTACAGTGGAAAACAGTGGTCTACAAATATCTCTAATCATCTGCTTATTTTTTCCCGTAAAAATCTAAAATAAATTATGAAACACTGAATCTGTGTCTCCAGTTTTCAAATGGGAAAATTTGCTTGTCTCTGGAGACATCTATTCTGCAGTCTTTTAATGAACCTCATTTTTGTCTAATATTTATCTCTATGAAGACTCCATTGAAAGTTCAATGCAAAGCAGAGAGAAGAGTTTGGCTCATTTTAATATTCTGAATCCGATAATACTTGGCCAAGTTTAGATTCATAAGCTAAAATTGCTTATTTGTGTTAGCTGACTCTTTAGTTTTCCTATGAGAGCGTACATTTGGAAATTCTGAGAACTTCTCCTACATACAAAAAATTAGGATTTTTTTTTTCTTCAAAAATTAAATAACTTTTTAAATGAAGAAATGGAGAAGGAAAAATAACTTCCACCAACCTTTTTTTCCTCACTTATAAATTTCTGTAATGACCCTCAGAATTTGGTTTATTAGTATTTTATTTTCCCATTTGAGGTCTGAGTCATTTTTTTTAACACGGTGCCACTTTTAGTTAACATTAAATATTACAAAACTTCCAGCATTTTTTTTTCTGATGTTAGTACAACCGAAGCTCTTCTTATACTTTTTAAAATACTAAAGTCCATGTGTTTGCAGTATTGTGATAGATTATCTGCCGATATTTCAATATGCTTTGGCCAAAAGATGTCAGTTTCGTATTGGGGATATGTTTTATGTAAATCGAGTTCATTAAAAAGTATTACTCAAATACTGCTCTTTTTATGAGGAAATTTGCTTTTGAGGAGAGATTCTTTGCCAGTATGAAACTGTTAAGGATTAGACCAATCAGATGTGAATGATTTGGTTATAACTGAATCGATACTTTTGTTTTTAAATCTAAGACAAGACTTGTATTGAAAACTGAATCAGCACTTGTCATGGCTGATTGTCGGCATTTGGGTCCAAGTGTCGTTCCAGTGTTTATGAACTTCCACTCGTGACCCAGAGTACAACTTCTTGTATGTTTTCGTAATTGGTCACTACAATATGCTAAAGTCAAAAAGTAAAAATGAGTTCCCAAGTAAACACATCAGTGTTTCCATGTTTGGACAGAAGTGCAAACAGAGTAGTTTTAGTTTCTAATGTTGTAGGAAAAAGGCCATCAAGATCACCTTTAGTTAATTTCTCCAAAATGTGACTTTTAAGCATTCCAATGGTGTATTTTGTTAGTAGCGTAGAAATAGAAATAAAATACGTGTGCTCATTAAATGATGCACAGCACAATAGACTTTATAAACAGATTTAACTTTTGCTTTTATGCTGAAAACTGCATGCGGTAGGGCATTCCCACTGTGAGAGAATTTCCTGAAATCCCAGAATGGGTATCTATCCTAAACCTATCTTCGGCGAACGTACTTCTGTTACTGATAAAAGTATGTCTGCTATTATTTTCATAACAGTGTTTTACAGTCGGTTCCCTTCCAGTTCCAAAATTTGGCTTTGAAAGTTGAACACGCTGTCTGTCCTACCATCCCATGCGTCAGGTTTCGTTTTCCGAATACCAGGGTCAGACCTGGGAAATGTATATAAAGTGACACGTCACCCATTCACGAAAACGTTTAGGTATTTCTTTGTGCCGCTGTATTCTACATTGAGCCTAGTTTGCCGTCCTCCCGGGAACGTCATATTATCCGTAGATTATGCACAGCTACGTCTGTTGCTTTTGGCAGTAAATGAAGATTTACTTGTAATTTTCCAGCTGTGAAGATGTTGCCTCGTATTGGAAAGGATTTCATGAATGGACCCCTAAGTAAAACTCAGCGCATTAGTGACAGACTTGCTTTCCTCACATCCGTCCATCACCTTTCCCTCCAGCCTCGCCTCCCTCCTGCCTCCCACCCCCATCAGAGTGCTTATTGTTTAGCAAGGAGAATCTTAAAACAGAAACTAAAAAACTGCTGTCTTCAATGTATCTAGTCATTGTTACACTGGAGCTTGTTATTTTCCCTCTGTAGCCTTTTTAGGAGAAGCACCCTACCTTGGATTTGTAAATCCAGCCGAAACTTTTTGCTGTCCATGTGTTCACGTGTCTTCTAGATATGCTAGGTGTCATGTGTGTTTGTGCGCATAAAGCATGCTCATTCACTTGACGTCTTTGAAGTAGGAGGTAAAGGACCACGGTGCCGCCGGTTTATGGAGATGTAGGGGTCTGTCAGCACACATCGCAGGCCCCCGTTTCCACAGCTTTATAACCTGAATAATCCAGATGCAATCATTGGAAGTATTTAATATGCAATAGGTAGCACCTTAACTAATTAATCTGCATATGAAGGGTTTTCTGGTGTATTTAATAGGAAGTGTAGAAGCTTTCGAGCATTAAACTAGAGTTGACGTTTTATTTCATTTATTTCCTATGTCGGCATTGACATTTTCCACTCTTACGATGGAATGGAAGTCTGTAAAAAAACGATACATTGGACTCATTAATCCTTGAAGCTCCCAGGTGGTTCGTTTTTCGAGGTACAAAAAAAAATGCTGCAGATCTGTAAGTGTATATATTTAGCAGGTATTTGAAAGATAAAAGCATTATTTATAACTGATGAGTATTACACTTAAGTAAAAAGCTCTGGAAACTTGTATACGTTTTTTTGCAGGTACAAACTCAAAAGTCTGTAAGCATTGCATACGTGACAGCTGTATAATTTATGTAATCTGATGCATGAATCAGAATTTTATATAATATATAAGTATTGATTTATTATAGTTGATTAAAGTGTCTAATCTTAATTCAGTTGTCATAATTTCCTTTATTTTTTTTATTAAAAATTTTTTTTTAATGTTTGTTTATTTTTGAGAGAGAGAGACACACACACACAGCGCAAGAGGGGGGAGGGGGCAGAGAGAGAGAGGGAGACACCGAATCCGAAGCAGGCTCC